GGGCTATTTCTTTTATACAGCAAAACAGTCGGGTCCACAGGGAAAGAGCATTTCAATAGCTGTAACCCAGAGCCAGAGCATGCTTTGTTGGTCTGCCTTTACTTAGCCCATCTGCCAGAAGTGATAACCAGATGCCAGTGTAACAATTACAGATTTTAAAAAGTACCCCCCCCCACACACACACACACTAAAACCTAACAGCAGAGATGAGTTCAACAGCCCAGGATCAAAAGGAACTTCAATAATGTAACAGAAAGTCTGGGAACAAAAGGAAGGAATCAGCGATCTGATGGTTCCCTTTTGACACACTACGAGGTAGCACAGCTCTCACAGCACCTGCTCAAATGCTCTCAGTTCTTACACTTAATCCTCACAGCAACCCTTTCCGTACATACTCCAGACAGTGGCTCCACATTGCAGACAAGGGAACTGGGGCTTCGGGAGGTGAAAGACACTTGTCAAAACGACATCATAGCACTAACAGAACACAGGCAGCTGCTAGGTAGGCACAGTCCATACTTTTAAATGTTATGCCAACAGCATTGAACCAATCCTGATCAACTAAGAACTTCAAACTTAGGAGAAGAAGGAAGGCTAACCCCTTAATGTTTTACTTCTAAAATGCTGCAATTCTTCACTTAGTAAAACTTACCCTCATCCAGGCCAAGATACATACATATGAGATATGCATATATACATATAAGATATATATGAAGCTGTCTTTCTTGCTAGGCACTATTAGTATTGTCACTCACAAGTCATGAGAAAATGCTATTCTTAACACACCACCTAACTTCCATGCTTGTGTGTGTGCCTGAGTATGGATATGCTTGTGCTACAGCATGGAGATAAGAGGGCAACCTCAATCTGGGTTCCCGCCGCCTACCTATTTAAGACAGGCTCTCTTTCACTGTTACCTATGGCAGGCCAGCCAGCCCACAGGTCTTCTAGCCATAGGACCTACCACAGGATTGCAGCCACACTATCTCATTTGCCTCCATGTGGATCCTGGGGATCGGAACTGGGGCCCGCACATGTGAAAGCCCAGTAGTTTCCCCACTGAGCTATGGCCCCAGTCCTCAGCATTCTTTCTGCACGAGTGAAGAGTATGTGGTTAAAAACAAGCTATAGCAGAACTTTTGTATTGTATGGGAGGGGGTGAAATTTTAAAGTTTCATTGACCTCATGTGGAAAGATCTAAACTGCCCAAGAAAACACTCAGATGTAATTTTTGAACATTTAATGTGATCCCTGGTAACATGTTTCCATGTGCAAACCGAGTCATTTAGGACAAATTATTTTCCGTGTTACCATTAGTCACAGAAAGCAAGCAAGCAAGCAAACAAACAAACCCCAAACAGGTAAAGAGAATTTCCAATGTGATCTGACTAATGACATACTTCTGGAATCTTTACAACTATACAAACAACACATACTCCACATCCCTTTCTAAGGAAAAGACATATGCATCATAATAGAAAAATCACATTTATTAGAAATTTCCCCCAGTGGCACCCCTAAGATGCAAACAGTCCCTGCATCTTCTACTCAAGCTGTAGCAGTCAGTCATTCTTTAAATCACTTGGGTTCATTAAAACAAAGCCCTAACCATGGCTCTGATGCTCTGGGGCTATAGCTTGTACCACTATACAGAGAATAAGAAGTGTGACTGTTACCCAGAAAACAGCTTTCAAAATGGTTCTTCTCTGGGTTCCAGTCCTTAGCACTACAAGAAAGGCTCTCCCTCATCCACTAGAAAGCCCAAGATACAATAAAAACAAACAGGGTATCTCCATCTGGTAAACAAATTAATCTCTAAAATACACATATAGAGGACATGAACACACAATATGATGACGGCTCATAATGCTGACCCTCTAGAAACCTTGGTTATATACCAGAGGATGACATCTATAGACCAATAATTATAGTACCAGCAAGTATGTAATACAATATCTAAAATTCAAATATACATCAGTTATGTTACACGTTTGTCATTTCTCTATTATCTATACATACACAAAAAGCACACTTGACGTGGCTTTAGTAAAAAAAAAAAAAGATAGAAATTCCAGTAAAATTTCATAGTTCAAATGTCAGCTAAAAATCTCAAGACACTAAAGGTTTTAATTTGGAGACATGATGAAAACTTTCTACTGTAAACGCTTTCAAAATCAATTGAAACTTTATTTTCCATAGTAATAATTTCATCACATGGTTGATGATGCAACAGGAAGAAATCAATCACCACCTTACTCAGTGGCCTCCTTTGTTTAAGATATCCTCATGCCCTGTCAACTACAATATATTCAGAATTTGCTAACTTTAACGGCTGAGCCATCTCTCCAGCCCAAGAATTTGCTAACTTTTAACTGGTGTCACATTTCTGATGAGAAATGACATGTTCTAAACTATTACTATGTTCCATGACTTGTCTTTATAGCAAATTCTGCACATTCTACTCATAGATACACCAACAAAAATTGTTCATGAGACTATTTACCGCCTGAAGAAAAAATGTGTGGAATCACTTAGGCACTGCCCTCAAAATTGCAAAATGTAGTTTTAATCGAATATTCAGATCCAAAATGGTAAGAAAGATGGTGTTAAAAATAACCCTTGACTAACAACTACACAAATGTTAGTTCAGTTTATAACATACAATAGGGTCTGTAATACCTTTTTAATCATCAAAACAAAGTGACTGTCTATAGTAACAGTAGTACCACATGGGTTTCTTAAATACCTTTTATGATGAAGAGCTCAAATATTTTTACATGGTTCCTTTCAATACACTCTTTTGAGTTGGAATGAATTTACAGCTAACATCTGATGTGCCCACTCCAATTCTCCAAATACAAGGATTCACATGAAAATGCAACCATGTTCCATTAATGAAAAACACACACAAGCACACGGCATGTGGTGAAAACTCTTTAAGAAGTAGGAAAAAAAAAATACAAAAAGTATAAAAAAATTACTTTAGATCAGAGCACACATAAAAAGAGAAAGTAAGAAGGTGAGCGCTAGGGTCAATACCACAGAAAGCAGAAACTGAACTACCGAAAGGAAGAAGCTACAATTGACCGGCATTCAGGGACCACAGAGGCAGAGACCTCACCAACAGTCCAGCTGTGCAGTACAGCTGTTTAAAGGCAGCTCTACAGTGGAGGGCGTTCCTCACGCGCACTAAAGAAACTCCAGCACCCAAACAGTCTCCACAGGATAGCCATATAAAAATAGGAAGCAGTCTCATCACGGCTTTGAAAATACTGACGTTTTCATCTCAAGACGTTTAAACCCTAATTTGTTTTCTGATGTTCAAATTTCCAAGTCTTTTAAAAGGAAACTGTTCATTTCCTTGTAAACCTGCAAGTACTTCAGCTAACAACGCTGGACCCAAAAGTCCTGGTTAGAAGCTTAAAATGAAAACATATGACTTAATAAAAAAGAAAGAAAGAAAAGAAAAAAGAAAAAAAGAAAGAAAAAAGGAAAAAAAAAAAAAAAAAGAGCCCTGTCTGGTTCTTGTTCAAGAAAGCACACAGCAGCAGAGCAGCAGATCATTACAGCACTGGTTCCCATTTTTGGGAGCAGAGTATAGGAGAGTACTGAGGGTGACAATGACATCCCTTTGCTTAGAAGAAGCCAGGCTTAGCAAGGGACAAGCTGCACCTGTGGTTGACACACTGCCTTTATGAATATCAGCGTTGTGCTGCTCTTCAGTTTTGTATGAAGACCTTTGTTCCTTACTGACCACAGAAATGGTATTACAGTAGAGTCTGACCTTTCTGTGCCACAGAGAAACTTCACTCACTGATAGAAAATACAGCTTTATTTTGTCTTCTGAGGCAGATGTATAGCTCAGGAAGACCTGGAACTTATTATGTACCCTAAAAGGGCCTTGAACTCATATCCTCCCGCCTCAGACTCCCAAATGCTGGGATCACAGGCATGTGCCATTGCAGCCAATATAATATGGCTTACCAAAGCATAGAACAAGCAGTTTGTGATGCAAGGCTGAAGAGCATAAATTGATGAATAATTTAACCGGGCATATCCAAACTCTAAACAATTCTTTCAACCCGACAGTGATAAAAGTCACTTCTTGATTTAAATGGACTGCTATTTTGTCAAACTTGGAAAGAGGCTGCAAACCATGCCCAAAAGACTGAATGCCTTTCTTACATTCCCCTTTTTTCAATTACCTAAGGCAATCTGTTATGGTGTCACGCACAAGTCCCAATTCTAAGGCATTCTTCTTAACCATAAACACACAAGTTCACACTAGTCACTGGCAGTGTCGCTCTGGAACTGCAGGTGACAGATGCAGTCACAGAGCTCACAGATGTGGACTGGCTGCAGCTTGACTTTCGCTCGGTGCAATGAGCACACTGGCAGAGCCTGCAGATGCACACAGCTCTATTTCAGTCATTTCCGATTTTATTTACTTCTAGGACCCGTCCTGGCGATTATGAAGCGATTATCCCCCCACTCTCATCCCTGCTCAAACCCTATTCACAATTCATTTTCTCTTCCCGCGTTCCAGATCCGTTTTCCCGAAGCCTAATTCGGCTCCTATTATTATCATTATAAAGCGGGGTTCCGGGCAAGTGCCAGAAGCAAGAGGCGACCGCGCCGCTATCTGGGGGAGCCTTTGCGCGGCGGCACAGCGGCCACCGCAAGTTTCCCGAGAAGCGGCGGACTCCTCGCTGAGAGGCACGGCCCCTCTTTCCCCCAGGGGCGGGCTCCACGACGGGGACCATCCCTGCCGGTCTCCCGCGGCCCGGCAGGGCGCCCCACCCCCACCCCGTTATCCTTCCTGGGATGCCCAAGCCGCCCGACCGCCCTCTTCGCTAGCCGCTGCCCGCGGCGCTCCCCGGCTCGGCTCCCCGCCCAGCACGGCACACCGCAGCCCGGCCGGCGCGCACACGCCCCGCCGCCGCTCTCGGGCCGCCCCGGGCCCGCCTGCCCCCACCTCCCAGGATCGCCGACGGGGTTACCGTGGGAAGACGGGGCGGTCGCAGAGGACGCGGCGGCAGCGCTGCTGCCGGTTGCGTCGGACGCGGAGGAAAAGCTGGAGGACAAGGATGAAGATGAGGCGGGCCCGCTCCCCAGTCTCCATGGAACTCCCGCCCCGGCCCGTTGCTAGGAGCCCCCGAGGCTCGGGCTCCGTCTTTCGTGCTTTGTTGTTCCGGGTACAGGGCGGCCGCTGCTTCCCCGCGACAATAAATAGACTAGACGCGGGGGAGCATAGAGACGCCACGCGGCGGCTAGAGCGCCGCCAGGCCCGGGCGCTCCGGGGATCCTCGCTAGCCGCCCACTTCCGGCTCTCGTTGCTCCCCCGCCCCAGCCCCAGCCCCTAGCTCGGGCTCTCCTTCCTCCTTCCTGAAGCGGCCGGGGGAGGCCCTTGAGCGCACGGGCTGGGCCCGGCGCAAGTGGCCGGAGGGCGCCCGGGGTCCCGGCTGCGCTTCAGCGAGGCTCGCCTGCAGAGATCCTGGGTGCCTGGTGTCACCTGATTGCTGGCGAACGGCACAGCGCACACGGGCTTGGCTGGTGGCTTCTGTTTTAAACCTCAACCCACCGGTTTCTACAAAGGGGCCCAGCTAGCAGTCATCCGGCCCAGTCTTGACCCGGGAGGTGGCGGGGTCCCCGGCCTTACTCAGCGAGGGCTCGGCGGGCGCTTCGCAGGCCTGTCCGTCCGGCGGGCCGGCTGGACACTGGCGACGCACACTCGCCGGTTTGAACGGCCGCACCGGGCCGAGTGCGCCCTCGGGGCCCCTCGGGGCGGCGGGAGCCGGGCGGCCGGCGGAGCGAGACTCCTAACGGCCCCGGAGCGCCGCCGCGCGGCCCGGCTCTGTCCCGCACCGCCTGGCCTTGGACGGTGGAGGTGGCCAGCGCGGGCAGCCTGGATTTTGGAACAGGCCTCCCGAATCGGGTTCCTAAATGGTTTGGCCTCTGGGGCCGCTTGGCCTTTTGAAAATGACTTGGGCTGACTTCTGAGGGTTTGGGAGTACACAACCACTTGAGATTTAATGATTTGAGCAGTAGCCAAGGATGCCTGTTTATCTCTTCTCCCTACTCCTAAGTGTACACACACACACACACACACACAAAAGCGCTCGAACATTTCAAAGCCCAGTAGGACAGATTTGTTTCGGTTCTCATACTGATTTATTTTGGGGGCTATATTGAATAGCTGTATTGTGTGTGGAACAGAATGGACAGGAAGCTGGGTGAGAAGGAGACTGATTTTGACAGATCTAAAAGGGTTGGGACTGAGACGAGAAAGAAGTCTGGCTAGCTGCTGTGTGTGTTAAGAGGAGTTGGGCATAGTGAACTCAGCTAGGAAAGAGTGACTGGAGCTAAAGTTGGAGGGGAGCTAAGATCTGAAACCATCTGTGTCTTACAGACAGGAGTTTGAATTTTCTTCCAAATGCTAAGAAAAGTGTGTGTGTGTGTGTGTGTGTGTGTGTGTGTGTGTGTGTGTGTGTGTGTGCGCGCGCGCGCGCGTGCCTTGCGTGCGTGCTGGAGAATGACAGCATGATTTACCAAGGAAATGGCACCAGAAACCCTACTGTCCCTGCTTAGGAGGCAATTTTACAACAATGGTGACTGATTCTAAGGTCTTTTTGAGATACTGTCCTTCGAGGAGCCCAGCAGGATACCCAGAAGGCAGCATGTCTGTTACTTTGGATTGCCTTTTATTATAGCCAAGGAGCCTCTTTGTAGAATTGGACAGTTTCCTTGCAAGTCCCATTAGCTGTGGTGCTGATTTTGATTGTTAGCCTGATTGTATTATTCTCAACCCTAGATGCTTAGTAAAATGCACTTGTATCTGTTATGGTGCCTCCAGAGACAAATGGATTGCTCTCTCAATAGATTCATCACTGTATGACTGCATTATCTGGTGGTAATGAAAGACAGGTGAGGCCTGCTTGGAAGAAGTAGGTCATAGGGCGTGTCTTGAGGTGATGTGTCTTCCTCTGGACCCTTTTATCACTTTGTGAAAGGATGATGGGAACTCTTCTACCAGGCCCTCCTGACCATAATGTCCTGACACCTGTGAAACCATCTTTCCTCCTCTTTGGTTGCACTCCCAGACAAATAACTCCCATTAATAACTAGAATACTTCTGAACTATCATACCTGCCCATATATTGTCCTTCTGACCAAGAAATTCCCCTCTGGTGAAAGAAGTAAGACAATATCATCTCTGTCCTTATGATGTGCCATTATCTGGTATGCTCAGAAGACTGTGGTGACATTGCAAGTTGTAATCCGTTGTTAACCAAGCACCTTTATTAACACAGATACTGATCCCTGAAGAGGCAGAGTTACAGTTGTCTTAACTGTAAAGCAGTGGTTCTCAACCTTCCTAATGCCATGACCCTTTAGTACAGTTCCTCATGTTGTGGTGACCCCAACCATAAAATTATTTCATTGCTACTTCATAAGTGTAATCTTGTTATTGTTATGAATTGTTTATGTGTGTGTGTGTTCAGAAATAGAGGTTTGTCAAAGGTGTTGGGACCCACAGATTGAGAACCATTGCTGTAAGGATGGACAGCGACACCCTATTCATCCAAAACATGAAAAACTAGCAAGTGCCATTGGTTAGATGACTGCAACTGTAAATGTAACATACAGACCATGATAGTTAATATTGACTATCTGATTAGTAGAGTTTAGAATCACCTGTGCTTGCCTATGAGGGAGTTTCTAGATTGGATTAATGCTGTGGAATAATCCTTTTGTATACTTTAAACTTACTTGAATTGGTTTAATAAAAAGCTCACTGGCTGGTAGTCAGGAAGTATGAGTGGGACAACCAAACTAAAGATACTGGGATGAAGAAGGGTAGAATCAGAAGTCGGCAGATGCAGAGGAAGCAGGACATGTAGAAAAGGAGGTAACAATCCATGAGCCACGTGGCAGAGAGTTAATTTAAATGGTAACAAGCCTGAGCTTCCTGTCAAGCATTGGAAATTAATATTAAGTCTCCCTGTGTAAAGATGTGTCTCTGTGCTGTATGGTGATATATTATTATTTCTTAAATCTTGCCTGAGGATTCAGAAAACAAAGGCAGCCTCAAGCTATAGAGATCAGGCAGTGGTGGTGCACACCTTTAATCTCAGGACTAAGAGGTAGAGGGATGTTTGAGTCCAAGGCCATCCTGGGCTACTGGAGAATGAATCAGAGCTTACACCTTTAGTCCCAGGATTTGAGAGGTATAAAAGATAGACACATTCAGTCTGAGAGTTAGTCTCTAGCCATGTTGAGGAGAACATAGCAGTCTGAGTGAATCTGAGGAGCAGTGAAATCTGGAGCTGTCTGAGGATCACTCTTTTGGTCTGAGCTGAGGTAGAGGTAAGAGCTAGTGGCCAGCTGATTTGCTTTTCTGATCTTCAGCTTTTGAACCCAAATATCAATCTCTGGGTATTTTATTTATCATGCTACAGTGCTGTAGCATGTACAAGGCAAGTACCTTGCTTGCCTAAGGCACCTGATTGGCTTAATAAAGAGCTAAAAGACCAGTAGCTAGGCAGGAGAGGTTATACAGGACTCCCAGGCAGAGAGAGAGAGAAACTCTTAGAGCCACTGGACTAAGCTCCCTGGAGACTGGCAGAATAGCAAGACTAGTTATAGCAAGTCTTGCTATAGATAGAAATTAGAAAGGGGAGGTTCATACTTAAAATCCATGTCTCTGTGAGATTTCTGATATCAAGCTAATGGAATTCTTCAAATGTCATTAACTGACAGCCATGGAAAGTTCTAAGGCATTTCTAGAAATTTCTTTACAGAGCAAAGGGCACTGAAGATGGCCCAGGAAGGAGGATGATTTAGGTCATGTTCTGACTGGGCCTGTGAGGCAGGATATGATACAAGGCAATGCTTGGAACATCGATTGGATGACCAGAGATCTTGCTTCCTTGATGTAGAAGTACAGCCCTTACTCATATCCCTCTTGTTGGGAAAAATCTGGTACTGGCCATCACCATCACATGCTTTTCCTCTTTCGTTTTGATCTTCTTTAGTACACAGTTGTATAGTAAGGTTGAATTCATCACCCATCATTCACAACTGGAGCTGATCAAAATGGACAGCATTCAAAGATTTCTGAACATGAGCTTAAATTCAGTAGCTGGATGAGTTTCCCACAACTGAAAGCATGTTTGTGGTGGCACACAGGAGAACTGATTGACAGTAAGCAGATGTATGTTGGTGAGCCAGTATACTTAAACACACCTTCATGAATCAGTTCTCTCCTTCTGTGGGATCCTTGAAACTGAATTTGGGCTGTTAGGTTTGGCAGCAAATACCTTTACCAATCTCAGTAGCATAGAAAAACATTTTTGCTAGAATTCTTTCTTTTTAGTTTTCATTTTATAGAACTTTTCTATAGGGAAGAGTGCTCCCCTCACCTCCAAGGAAGTCCTTCTCATTTCTGGTCCTCAGTCTAATTAACAATCAAACAAAAACTTCCCTACTTAATAGAGAAGTGGGTTTCTGGCCCAAGCTGGCTAACTGAATGGAATCTGTGCACCATAATTGATCTATTGCCTCTCAAGCCTAAATTCACTTTTACTTCTGCTTGGTAAAGGTGGATCTAGGGCAATGGTTTTCATCCTGATGGTGTGACCCTTCAATGCAATTCCTCATCTTGTGGTGATCCAACCATAAATTTATTTCATTACTACTTTATAACTGTAATCTTGTTACTGATATGAATCATAATGTAAATGTCTGATACATAGGATATTTGATGTTGAACACCAAAGGGGTCACAACCCACAGGTTGAGAACTGCTGATCTAGAGCCTTCAAATATTTTTTTGTACAAGGTTGGATTTCTGTTGGTTGAGAATGCTGAAGATAATAAAGTCTTACAGTGTATTCCCCGATAGAATCCTGTAGTGTAGATGACCTCATTAGAATCCACCTGCACAGAAAATGGATGGAACTAGAAGAAACTATCCTGAGTAAGGTAACCCAGTCACAAAAAGACAAATATGGTATGTACTTACTCATATATGGATTTTGGACATCAAGCAAAGGATCATCAGCCTACAATCCACTCTGACAGAGAAGCTAAGAAACAAGGAGAACCCTAAGAGAGACATGGTCCTCTCCACAGAAGGGGAAAGGGACAAGATCTCCTGAGCAAATTGGAAGCAGGGGGGGAAGGGAGAGGGAATTAGGATAAAGAAGGAGAGAAGAGGGGGAGAGGAGA